ACGCGTCCCCCCCCCCCCACTAATGCCTTTGTTGTACAAATTGCAATCTGATTCAATTGGTGTCAGACTGGCAAAGTACAGTAGAAATAGAAGTACAGTAGATTGGTGTTCTTCATTATAAAAGCAGAAGAGCGGAAATGTCTTGGACTTATGTTTCCTGGGTAACAGAAAGATTCCCAAGATATCTGCAGGCCCAAGTTAGCATTTTCACATTAACACCACTTTAAAAAAAGAATGAATGCAATTTGTTATGTACTATGTTCTGTATTATATTCTGTATTCTTATGTACTATATTCCGCATTCTTATTTCATGCTGTTTATAACTTTTCGCTTAGCAGCCAGGGATGCTTTCTGGATTGATTGTGATTGGTAATGCATCACTTCAATACACGGTTTGTGGTATTTGTTACTATGCTGGCATGAAGTCTCTCCCAGCTTTGCCCACCTGGGTTCTCTGTGCAGCAGCATGCCAGACCTGGGGGGGGGGCGCGGGAGGTTCTCTGTGCAGCAGCATGCCAGACCTGTGGGGGCGGGAAGGTGGATTTGCAGTAGTCTATCGTGATTCCACCCCCCTTGTCCCACAGTTTTCTGGGTTTGAGAGCAGGTGCCTTGTCCCATAGTTTTCTGGGTTTGAGACTGTATACTTAAAGGTAGATTCCTGGGACAGAATAGGGATTCTGTTGGAGTACTGCCCACCCCGCTGCTCAACAGTCTTCTGACCGAGTTGGTATCAGAGGTGAAGTTGGAGTCCTCTAGGCTGATAGTACTGGGCGATTTTAATGTCCATGCTGAGACCAACCTATTAGGAACGGCTCAGGACTTCATGCCCCCCCATGACAACCATGGGCCTGTCCCAAGTGGTTTCTGGCCCCCCACACATAGCAGGGCACACTCTGGACCTTGTATTTCATGCTGGGCAGGATGGTGGTGATTTGGGTGTGGAGAAGCTCTCTGTAGTTCCGTTGTCAAGGACAGATCACTACCTGGTGAGGTTGAGACTTAATGGAAGTCTTAATCTCTGCAGCGGTGGATGACCTATTAGGATGGTTCGCCCCAGGAGACTGATGGATCCAAGAGGTTTTCTGACAGCTCTTAGGGATTTTTTTGTTGCCTCAGCAGGCGATCCTGTTGGAGCTCTGGCTGATCTCTGAAATGGGGAAATGGCCAGGGTGGTGGACACAATCGCTCCTAAGTGTCCTCTCCCATGAAGTAGAGCCAGGCAAGCCCCCTGGTTCACCAGGAAGCTGGCAGTGATGAAACAAGTGGGACGGAGACTAGAGCGACTGCGTCGATCACCCTGCTTTGGTATAGGCTGTTTGCATATACCAGTGGGAGCTGTTGGGAGGCGGAGCCAGAGAAATCAGAAGGGGTGAGTCAGATAAGAGGAGTTTAGTGAGTTAGTTTAGAGTTAGAATCAGAGATAAGAGTCTGAAGCAGAAGTTAGTCTGTGGTCGTTAGGTTGGGTGGCAGAGTTAGGAGGCACTTAAAGAGTGTGGAACTTATAGAGAACTAAGAGAGTTAAGAGTGAAACAAATTATTACTAATCTAATGAATACATTAAAGTCTGTGAAGAACCTGTTTAAGCAAACTTGTAATCAATAAACCTGTGTTATTCAACTTTATACTCAGCTTGGACCTCAGTCTTTCTAATTAAAGTGTATTGACAGAGATCAACTGGTGGCAGCAAGGTAAAGGACGTGTTGGGATACTAGCGTGAGTTCTGTGTTTAGTGAAACAAGCAGGGGCCCTGGGGTAAATGTCACAGTGACGATGGCGGAAAACTCAGCAGGTTGCTTACCTGTGACTGTGGTTCTTCGGATGGTCATCTGTGGACTCAATGCCGAGGGGTCTTGCACTTGCATAGAGCCTCATCTGAAACATGCCAGAACTGAGTTTGGTTTTGGCAAGAACCCTGCCACCCCTTGCAGTGTGCATATTTCAACAGCACATGACATGGATGCCCATAGATCAAGAATATTCCAAACACTGAATTCCCAGTGTAGTGTAGTGGATAGAGTGGTGGACTAGGACTCAGAAGAACAGTGTTCAAATCCCCACTCAGATGTGGAAACGGACTAGGGGAGTGGAAGTGGTAAAACTGTGTTAAATATCTTTTTTACCCTGAAAATTCTGTTAGGGTCATTATAAGTCGGGTTTGATTTGGCAACATTTAACAACAACTGCTCTATCAATCAAAGAAAGGAATGAAGGGCACAGCCAATTGGGTATGGGGAGTGGCAAATGCCTCCTTGCAGCAGGCTAGGATCCCTGCTTGCTTAAAGGAGGCAGTAATAAGACTGCTACTGAAGAAGCCCTCCCTGGATCCCAGTGTACTTGATAACTACCGGCCAGTCTCAAACATCCCATTCCTGGGCAAGCTACTGGAACATGTGGTGGTGTCTCAGCCCCAAGGATTCCTGGAGGAAGCGGATTATCTAGACTCATTTCGATCTGGTTTCAGGCCTGGCTAAGGGACAGAGACAGCTTTTGTTGCCTTGGTGGATGACCTATGCCAGAAACTGGACAGGAGGTGTGTGTCCCTGTTGGTTCTGCTGGATCTCTCAGTGGCTTTTGATATCATCAACCATGGTATCCTTCTGGGCTGTCTCTCTGGGATGGGACTCGGAGGGACTGTTTTACAGTGGCTCCAGTCCTTCCTGGAGGGGAGAACTCAGAAGGTGGTGCTGGGTGACTCCTGCTCACTTGGCCTGTAGTGTTCCTCAGGGTTCTGCTTTGTCACCCATGCTTTTTAACATCTACATGAAACCACATGGAGAGGTTGTCCAAAGTTTTGAGGTTTGGTGTCACCAGTATACGAGAGTTTTGGGGTTTGGTGTCACCAGTATACAGATAACACCCAACTCTGTCTCTCCTTTCCACCTAATTCCAGGGAAGCTGTCTTGACTCTAAACCAGTGCTTGGCATCAGTAATGGGCCAGATGAGGGCAAACAAACTCAAACTTAATCCAGACAAGACAGAGGTGTTCCTGGTTAGTCAGAAGGCAGATGAGGGAATAGGGATACTACCTGTGCTGGATGGGGTTACACTCCCCCTGAAAACTCAGATCTTCAGCTTGGGTGTACTCCTGGATTAATCCCTAAGCTTGGATGCCCAGGTCTCAGCGGTGGCCAAGAGTGCATTTGCATAGCTAAAGCTGATGCACCAGCTGCACCCGTTCCTTGAGATGTCGGATCTGGCTACAGTGACACATGCCTTAGTTACATCCCATTTGAATTACTTTAATGCACTCTGTGTGGGGCTGCCTTTGAAGACGGTTCAGAAACTTGAGCTGGTCCAAAACTCTGCAGCCAGACTACTGACTGGGGGCAGCTTCAGGGAGCATATAACGTACCTGTTACAAGAACTGCACTGGCTGCCAGTTTGTTTCTAGGCCAAATTCAAAGTGCTAGTTATTATAAAGCCCTATACAGCTTGGGTCCAGGCTACCTGAAGGACCGTATCTCCCTATATACGCCTTCTCGGCGATTAGGATCAGCAGAGGAGACCTCCCCTTGCCAGCGTCCAGGCTACCTGAAGGAACACAGGAGAGGGCCTTCTCTGTGGCAGCTCCCAGGGTATGGAACACTCTCCCTTGGGAGATCAAAATGGCCCCTTCCCTTTTATCCTTCTGAAAAAAGCTACAGACCCATCTCTTAAGGCAGGCTTTCAACAATTACAGTGGTGCCTTGACTTACGAACGTCCTGACCTACGAACGTTTTGAGTTACGAACAGCTCTGGACACGAAATATTGCTTTGAGTTGCGAGTTGACCTTTGACTTATGAACAGAAAAAGGCAGGGGGAATATATGGAACACTCTCCCTTGGGAGATCAAAATGGCCCCTTCCCTTTTATCCTTCTGAAAAAAGCTACAGACCCATCTATTAAGGCAGGCTTTTAACAATTACAGTGGTGCCTTGACTTACGAACGTCCTGACCTACGAACGTTTTGAGTTACGAACAGCTCTGGACACGAAATATTGCTTTGAGTTGCGAGTTGAGCTTTGACTTATGAACGGAAAAAGGCAGGGGAAAAATGCAGGAAATTCAAACAGCTGGTGGCAAAGAGGCTGCTTCTTTGTAGCTCTTTCGCCCCAACGGTTAGAGCAGGTGGTTAGGGAACTTTTTTACCCCTGGGGCGCAGGAGGAGGAAGGAGAGGCAGGGTGGTGCAGGTCTACTCACAAGCAGGCAGGGCAGCGCAGGAGGAGAAAGGAGAAGCGGTTGGGTACCATTGCTTTGGAAGTGTGAGAAGCCTCCGCAGAGGCTTCGGACTGGTAAAGTGCTACTTTTTCCTTTTTAAAAAGTTGGGAGGTAGGTTTGGGCTGCGGGGGGTTACGTTTCTGTGTTGTTTCGTTGTTTTGTGGGGGTTTTTTCAGTCCCATGTGGGACTTGCGCCAATGTTTATTTTTGGATTTGTTTGTTTTCATTTTTTTGTTTTTTGTAGTCCCAGTGTGGGACTTGCAGTGTTTTGCATACTTATTGTACATATTTACTGTACATACAGGGTTTTTGCAGCTTTGGGGGGGATTTTTTTGCAAGGGTCTGTGCTGGCTGATGGAGGTCTAAAATGCATTTTACTCACCTACATTAAAAATCAGAAATGGTGTTCCAAAGATTTATTGGGCTGCTATGGGTCTAAAATGCATTTTACTTGTCTGCATTTAAAATCAGAAATAGTTTATTGGGCTGCTGCGGGTCTAAAATGCAGCTTAAACCAAAATCTCTCCCCCCGTCTCTCTATGCTCTCTTTTTGTGATGAGGAGTTCTGTGCTGGAAGAATGCTTGCTGGTTGTTGGTGCAAGCAAGCTTTAAAATGCAGCTTAGTTCTCAAACCCCCCCCCCCATGCTCTCTTGCTGATTTATACCCTCAGACTTGGGTTGCTTTATTACCTGCGTGCCTGTGGGGTCATGAAGCTTGTATTTTGAATGCCTTTCTTTTGAATGTCTCCAGCAAAAATAAAACTGAAAGCAAAAGTGCCTTGTCTCTTAAGGAGCCACGGTTCCCTCCTCGTTTGGTTTAAATTGGGAGCAGGGAAACTCCATATTCTCCAGCATGGGACTACTCTACATTCTCCTGCAGAGCTATATCTCTATGTGCTGCTTGAACTCTCTTCTTGAGAGAAGAGGGCAGTTTTCCTTTTGCAATGGGAGGGGGGAGAGGAGGATTAGAGAGAGATAGTCAGAGGGGAAGGAGGCAGGCAGGCAGGGAGCTGTGACCCATCCAGAAGCATTTTTCACTCATCACAAACAAGTGGACGCGGGCATTTTTCAAGCCCTGTGCATCTTCGTCTAGTGTCTCAGTTGTGACCCTCTGCCTTGGAGGACCCTGCGAGGAGTTCAGGCTTCCTGTTAGCGTTGCTCTCAGCTTCACTGACACATCTGAATGCCTTCATTCATTAAGCAGTACATCCAATGAGGAGGATGCTTGTGTAGTCAAAAATTATTAGGAGATTCTGAGAAACTACACACAGCACCTTATAAATACACAGTGCTTACATTGCAAACAGTATCAGATAAATGGTTCCAGATTGTGAGTCAAGGGTTACATGAACAGAAAAACATAGAATTTAGACATTTAGACCATGAAAGGCTATTAAGCTTTAAAAGCAGACAAAAATATCTTGGTCAAATCCAAAAATAAGTATGAATGAAGAAGATTTCTTTACCTCAACTTTGCATCCCACATCATGAGTAGCAGCAGCAAAATAAACTACCTCTTGTACTTCGTCTCTAGGTCGTGCAGAATTCTTTCCAACTATTACAATGCTATCTTTAGCATGGGGTGGAAACGCAACAAAAGAGTAACTTGGAGGTGCCAAAGCCATTCTAAAAGACATGAAAAGAAGAGATACAGGGAATATAAGAAAACAAACTTATCTCAGACTGTTTTCACCACTTTCTGCTCTGCCCAAGAGCAGTTCTCTGGGAATTCAAACTAAACGTTTTTCACATCACCCACTACCCACTCTTCTCCAGTACAGAAGCTAGAAATGGAAAGAAGAGTTTCTATATAGAAAGAATGGTCTCCACAGTTCTTCCCCTAATGCAATTTACCCAACCATAACATATGTTGCATAGCAGGAGAAATATAAAACCAATAAGCTTAAGCACACAGAATATTTTACAGTCAAAGTGATTCTTCCATCTCATCAGCTAAATAATGCCTTTTGAATGCAACAAAGTAACACAATATAATGTTTTATTAACACAATAAACAAAGTAACACAATATAACTTTCTGTTAATACACTTTTTGTTAAGTTTGAAAAAACGAAGGGGGAAAAAAGCTGGTCTCCTACAAAATTCTACACCAGTAAAAACAAGTGGAAACAATGGAGACCAGCAGAATTACGTTGGATTCTGGCCATTTAAAAGGTTTTTAGCCAAATGCATATCCATATTAGATAGATGTGTTAGTTCTTTTCCTATCTAAGGTCTTCTCATATAGAATTATCTTTAAGATTTAAGAAGTACAAGAACATCTTGTGCCACTAGCAGTTTATCACCACTATGCTTTGAGAATGATTTGCTGGGTCATCACATCAAACCAAAATCAACAATCAGCTGGAAAATCAGAATTACAAGCACGGACCTGTGACCTCTTGAACTCTGCCTGCAAGAATGACATTACTGGCAAATTGGTGCTAATTAGAGATTCTTCTTTTTCTGTCCTTTTGGGGAGGGGTAGCATGCATACAATGAGATAAAGTCATAAGCACTCAAGAACAAGGAATTCTTTAATTAATGGCAATTTACCATTGCTTGTGGCCTCCTTCCTGCTATACAAGTAACATTCTGCAAGAAGACACTGGTCTATAGTAAAAAGTGGGTTAAAAACTAACTTTTGGAATAATATTTGAGATGGCAAACTACCAGCTACTTCCTTATACTGTACAGTTATTTCTTTATAATGATCATGTGTCTTCAAGTTAATTCTGACTTACGGTGAGCCTTTTCAGGTGTTCTAGGTAGAGAGTACTCAGAGGTGGTTTATGCTTCCCTTCTTCTGGCAGCATCCTGGGACTGTGCAACTTCAAGGCCACACAGGTTGGTTCTATTCACAGGAGGCACAGCAGGGAATCAAGCTAGATACCTAAACCACTGAGCTATCCACAGAACTCTTTAAACTAAACCCACTCAGAATAGCTTACATTTATTTAAAACAAGAATGCAATCAACACAAGTATCACTAAAAAAACCCACAGCCAAAACTGAGGAACAAAGAAAATTAAAGCTAATTATAATGATAAATAACTGTGCATTAGGCTTAATGCCAAGCAAATATTCCTGGGAAAACTTCAAACACAGGGATGCTACAACAAAGGAAGATAATGATAAATAACTGTGCATTAGGCTTAAGGCCAAGCAAATATTCAACTTCAAACACAGGGATGCTATAACAAAGGAAGCCCTGCCTTATCACAAGCAGTCAGGCTAGGAAGTCTTTTAAGGAAGGTCTGGGATCATCTGTGTGAAAGGAAATAGTCCATAACCATAATAACCGTGACTAGTGCTTTAGTTACTGAACTTATAAAAGCTCCAGTGCTGAGCAGAAATAGAAGCAAAGGGCATGAAGATCTAAACTGGGAATTGCCTGTATGTTTGCAAACCCAAATTATGATTCAGGCTCTAATCCATGACAAGAACAAACCACAGTTTGGTATCGTATCTGAAATGAGTCTCTGACAAGATATAAATTGACCTCTTCATTGCCTTTATCCACTAGTCCATTGATACGTTTGTACATTATCTCTCACACCACCAATTGTTCAACACACATTTGAACTGCTGTAACACACAAAAAGCAAAATCCTTATTTTGGATGGTCTTCCTTCCATCATTTAGCAAAACCTACCTTAGAGGCTCAAGTCATACAGAGTCACATAACAAATTTGCAAACACCTGGATTCACATCAACCACAATGGTCTTAACTCTGACAGTGAAGATGGTACCTGGGAAATTCACCACCAGGACACTAGAACCTGTACAGCAAATATAACATCTAAAACAGATCTGTATCTCCAGATGTAAGTCACTCTTTGCATACAACACAACACTGACATCACTTATCTGGAAGTTCATTCATGGCAACTGGCCTTCTTTCTTGTTAGGTTGAAACGTTTCAGTACGGATCCAAGTAGCTTCTTCAGTCTGAGGAGAGTTAGTAGGAGATCCCTATTTATCATGCTGCCCTTTCATCTGTCCCCCCACACACCAGATTACCACTGTTAACAACTAGAGTTGGGGGTATTTGTATGTGAATATGAATACCCCTGCACAGGTGGACATAACGAGGGTCCAGCCCCCTTGAGCCGGACCATCCGCTCACCTACCACTGTTGCTGTGAGCTCTGCACTCCCTTCCTATCGCTCCGGAGCTCGCGGTCTGTGAGCCACTCTTCAACCTTGCAGTAAGGCTTGTCCTCCTGCCTTCTGCAAGGCGTGGCTTGCAGACCCCAAGCTCCGGAGTGATAGGGAGCGTGGAGCTCGCAGTGACAGCAGAAGGTGAGTGGACAGTGTGGCCCCAGGGGGCTGGACCCTCATTATGTCCACCTGTGCAGGGGTATTTGTATTTGAAAACTAATATTCCCATCTCTATTAATGATCCATGACAATGGGTGGAGAACGACTGCAGAAGTGGGATTATCCCTTACCCCCAGTCCTTTGTCCTTCTAACAAGCCTATTAAGGCCTAGGGGGATGTGAAACCAATGTGGAGGATATATTAGGGATCTCCTACCAACTCTCCTCAGGCCGAAGAAACTACTTGGATAAAAATCTTCACAGATATACAGACATCACTTGTGTGTTTTGTTTTTGTTGTTGCTTTTTTACAAAAAAAAAAAAGCTTGATGAATATTTGCTTGGAATTATCCCTCAACCCCGATGACAAATTAATCAAAGAGTGTCATAATTCAACCCTATTGGAGGTTATTCCTTAATGTATTATTCATGCACAGTTAATTAGTTCCGAGACAAAATTGCAGCAAGTTGGCTTGATATATATCTCATCAGACAAGGTAAGGGTCAGAAAGCAATCTCAAATTCCCTTATGAGAGCTGAAGTGACAACATGCAAGTAATTTCTCACTGTCAATCATTTCTTGATGAAAATAAATCTCAAGAGACTTCCTGACTTCCAATGTGGTTACTATGCCAATGTGCTTAATATAGGCTGGTGTGCTAAAGAGTAAACAGCTCTGATTAACATGTAAATGTATTGCATTCTAGGAAATGTGAGCCTGAAATGGAATTTACATTTTCCAAAAATTCACTAATGAGAGCTAATCTACATAAATATTCAAGGTAGCTCAATCTTATTCCTTTCTTTCTATAACATCTGTCTGCAAGGCATGACTGGGGACAGAGACAAAGAGAGATGCTATGAAGCACAGTACAGCTGGCAAGTCTCTCAGCACTACTTTGACGTTTCTAAATTTACCTTTTTATCATATGACCGGAACTGTCTAACTCTTAACTATGGCTGAAATCCTGTTGCTTTGCACAGTAAGTTGCATTAGTGTAGACCCACTGAATCAGTGGGGATTTGCTGAATCAGCTCCTCTATAATTGCCATGGATTCAAATAGGCTTATTCTAGTTATGACTTTGTTTCGTTTCGTTTAGTCGTTTAGTCATGTCCGACTCTTCATGACCCCATGGACCAGAGCACGCCAGGCCCTCCTATCTTCCACTGCCTCCCGGAGTTGTGTCAAATTCATGTTGGTTGCTTCGCAGACACTATCCAGCCATCTTATCCTCGGTCGTCCCCTTCTCCTCTTGCTGTCGCACTTTCCTAACATCAAGATTTTTTTCCAAGGAGTCTTCTCTTCTCATGAGATAGCCAAAATACTGGAGCCTCAGTTTCAGGATCTGTCCTTCCACTGAGCACTCAGGGTTGATTTTCTTTAGAATTGATAGGTGTGTTCTCCTTGCAGTCCAGGGGATTCTCAAGAGCCTCCTCCAGCACCACAATTCAAAGGCATCAATTCTTCGGCGGTCTGCTTTCTTTATGGTGCAGCTCTCACTTCCATACATCACGACAGGAAAAACCATAGCTCTGACTATTTGGACTTTTGTTGGCAAGGTGATGTCTCTGCTTTTTAAGATGCTGTCAAGATTTGTCATCACTTTCCTCCCAAGAAGCAGGCGAGTTATGACTTACTTTAGCAAAAAGCTGTGATTAGAGCAGGCCTATTTGATTCCATGGAACTTACAGAGGAGTTGACTCACCAAATCCTTACTGATTCAAGGGTGCAAGTTACTACACTAGGCAACAGGATTTCAGTGTATGATTACTTTTCTTTCTTACTTGCATCCATTTTATGCTGAAACAAATGCAGATTAGTAAAAGAAGCACACGTTTATAGGTCTGGAAATAGGTCACTGCCGTCTGATGGCTTTGCACTGAAACAATAAGATAGCAAGCAGGGGTGGGAGAGGGAAAGTGGGGATGCTTGTCTGCCAATTGGCTTTTGTTTCAGATGGCTAGGGCCATTAGCTTCTGGTGCAAATACAGTCACTAGGAAACAGTTGGCAGAAAGTCTAAACAAGTGTGGGAAACCCTGTGCTACGTTGGAACTGTGGTGCCACTGCTTACTGAATTGAATAAGATGGTCTTGATGCTTTCCACAACTTTCTAAAATCATGAAACAAATCCTTGATGCTCCTTATTATACCTTGCAAAACTGTCACACATTTGTCAGCTTTTCTTTTTGAAATTAAACTGATTTCCTTGTTCAAAAGTCATATAACTTTGAATATGCAGATACCTTTTCTTGGACAATTTCTTAAATACTGGCACTTTCAAGTTGTACAAGCCTTGCAGGAAATCACTAATTAAGGAGACATATTTTTGCTATGAAAGGAACAGAAAAATTGAAGCATTTTTGCTGCAAGAAAAGCATGCACAATCAATTAATAAATCATAGGCAGCTGTGCTACTTCTTGCCCTTTGGCTGAAGAATAGCAGCAGTATAAATAGTATTACCAGATATTTCTTTATTAAATATGAATTATCTTAAAATAACTATATTCTTGGGTATTTATGGCTTTACCACAGGCAAAGTGCTTTAAAATGGATTTCAGGATTTCAGTTAATTTTCAGGGTATCTCTCTGTGCACATTTCATACATAACTACAATGATCTGAAGATATTTAAGTCTTAATTTAGACTTCTGTACCATACTCCACATTTATACTTCAGACCCAATTTTTGGACTTCTGTACCTCTAGTAACTGCTTAGAAGAGATTTTGACTGGCACTTCTTGTCACACTGAAGCAAACTATATTTGTAAAAACTGTCCTTCACACTACAGATAAAGCTTCTGAAGCCCTTTGCTTTTTATCACATGGGCCCCAGCAAAATCCCAAAAGAAAACTAACATATGAGAAGTTAATGGGAAAATAAACGATACATATTGTTCCAAATGAAATTTTAAAAGGGAAAGCTCATGAGAAAAGTTTAGTTTTGGACTACAGCTTCTAAATTTCCCCAGCTGTGCTTCAAATAAGTAACTCTTCTATCACAATGTTTGGCTTCCCACCCAAAACGCATACGTTATATACTGCAGGATTTTGTTGACTTCCACAAATGAAAATTGTAATTTTTCCTGAAGAGATGCAGTTGCCATTGGGCTTAATTCAAGATAGTCACTATTACCTAAATGATCCTAAACCATTTAATTAGAAATACAGAGCTGAATTTATAAATCTTTGCCAAATACTCTTATTATATCTGATATTAAAGACTCACATTCTCCTCATCTGAATATCCTAAATCTGACCTAAAAACTGCACAAGCCTATTAGAAAATTCAGCTCACAGAAGTCCAAGTCTGGAATTTCAACCTAGCACAGACAATTTTGTATTGTCTGTGCCATCAAAGTTCACTGTAGCTAGAGACACTGCCCACTAAAGAGGGATTATTCAAGTTGTCCTTGCAAGAGTTATTACTGCGAAGAGAGGACTGAAAAGTTGTTCTTAGGTCATGCACTAACTCAAGTATATTTGGAAACAGACTATGCAAAATTGGACCTCTGTCCTCAAAATTAGTCTTTCAGACCGTTAAAGAGCCAGGGACGCCAGTCAGCAGAAAAGGTTGCTCAGATTTCTTCCTCAAGATGTGTCCACCTTGTCATTTTCTTGTTCCTTGAACTCTGCATGAACTCTGAATTAAAGAGCAACCCTATCTTTAGGTATCTAAATACTAGAAAATCATACAGAGCTTGGCAGTTTATGGTCCTCCAGAAGTTGCTGGGCTGTGACTTCCATAAGCTTTAGATAGCATAGCGAATAATGAAGGAGGGCTGGAACTACAGTACTGGAAGAAAGACCAGACCGATTGCGTTTGACATGAGTCTGAAAAGCAGAAGGCTTTTGCAATTAATTTGCCTGATCTGCCCTTCCATTAATTTTATTAATATATCCCCTTTTCTCCAATGAGCTCTGGTCTGTGTTAATGGTTCGCTTCCCTCAATGTTGTCAGCACAACAGTCCTGTAAGTAGGCTAAGGTGAGAAATGGTAACAGTCCTAGTAGGAATGATGTCTGAGTGGCGATGTGAACATGGACTTCCTCAGCCCTTGTCCAACGTGTTATACCACAAAGATTTGTCAAAATCAAAATTCTGAATCTCTTCCAGAAACTAAAAAAGTTTGCACAGAGCAGTAGCTGACAGCATTGTTTTACCATTTAAAACACACTGTTAGTTGTACAGTACTGGTGTCTTTGTCAGGAAGCAAGCAACCAAAGCAAATAACTAAACAAAAATCAGGATATTGGAAAAAGATTTATTGGCAATTTATTTTAAAGTCTGAATTCCAATTCTGTTAGCAATAACCTCCTAGAGGCAATAAGCATGGCTAGTATATTTTGGTGGGCTAACTGCTACTTCATGCAATGATCTATCACTACAAAGTTCTGCAGAGACGTAGGAGTTGCTTAGATTCTGCAACACTGCAGTATTCAGAGATTTCAAGCAATAGTTTCGCACCACAACTACTCTGTATTCAAAATCTTATGCTGCCATTTCTGCCAGAATGTCAGATCACATAGACAGACATAATTTTCCATCCAAACAGTTGGATGTGATGAAAAAACTGAATATGAAAAGACATACAAGAATTCTTCAGAAGCCTATGATTACACACAGCAAGCAAACACTTTTATTTTGTAGAATGGCAATGTTTTACATTCTTAAAATGCCACATTTGGACAACAAAAGGTGTGTTGCCGAGCAACTGAATAATGTTGTAGCTCTCAATGATCTAAGTTCAAGGGGCTCCAGTAGTTTACAGCTATGAGATATACAATCCATTACTAAGAATTAGACTCCACTCTTCTCCAAAAGAAGAATGGAATAAAGATAGCCTGAGATCTAGTGCTAGCTCACTAATTTATTTTCAGCAGAGTGTCAACACTATCAGACTCATTTAACAACACCAGCAACAAAGTTTTATAAAATGACTTAGAAATGATAAAATTCTAAAAGGTAATTCAGATGCAGTTTCGTATCCATATATTTACAAGAGCCTTGTGTATGATTTATGGGGTGCCTGGTGGTGCCACTCAATGAGACATCATTTTTCATCTGATTCCACAACAGGCATCTATGCATGTATATACTAAGCCATTACTGTATTTCACACCCGGTTCCATTTGTACGCATACACACTCATAAAGAGAGAGAGAGAGAGCATAAATGCAAATCTTGATGGTTGTTCATTCCAACTGCTGACTAATGACCACCTCTAATTCTTCAGAAGTCTAGCAAGCACATTTACCAAAATATTATGCCTCAGTTATCTTTGGCAGGTTGCTTCTACAGGATATCAGTGATGTGACATTGCTGTATAAGGTGGTACAATACGGTATCAGTCATGGCTAGTGTTCACTGCAACAGGTGGAATGGAATCAGAAGTCTTCACCAGATGAGCAGACTTGTGAATCCATAACAACCCATATTTGTACCATATTGCAAAGTGAGCAGCAAACCGAAGTGTACTGTATGTATAGGGTAAGGCATGGAGGAGGAGGAAGAGGAAGGAAGAGGAGGAGAAGAAGGCCTGGAAGATTTTTATCCCATCCTCTAATAATAAGAAAAATAGCAGCATCTGAAGTGGTTAATCTATTTTAGAAACATCATACAACATAGATTGTGGTCTTCATTAACTGGAAGTGCAAAAACTATTAGGCAATAGTATATGTCCTTTCAGATTATGATTCAGTACGTCAGTGTTCATAATTTTAGAAAAGGAAATCATGTATTTCCCACAGATTACTATATAATCCCAGATTTACTATTTGCCAGCTGTCCCTCATCTCATTTTTAAACTTGTAATGAGTAAAAATCCTGCAGAATTTTTTTAGATGAATCAGACAAACATGGTGTTAAGATTATATATTGGAGGTAGCCATATTACACTACCAATAAGACTCTAGATGGATATCACTTCTTGTAAATTAAATAGCAAGTACCACAAAACTGCATGAATGAGAGAGAAAAGTAGAAACAAAGATCAGAGCTACAGTTGTTGAATACTATTATATTAGATAGGTAGACTGATAAGAGAATGGCAAACAAATATACAAACTATACCAGAAATATATCAATTTAACAGGTCAACAAAATAATATACAGTTCCCCTAGCTCCTAAACATACATTTATGTACTGCAAAGATACTTTCAAGTACTGTACTGTATTTCAACAAAGTATGTATACTTATCCAAGGTAAATTACACATACACACACACAGAAAGACACACTTACACAAAGAGAGATCTGCCGTTATTTATACATCATATACTTTACCTCATATATACAGTACATCTATAAATTGCTAGAATCTCAGATGTAAGATCTTTCTACTATTTATAGCCTGAGTGAACTTACCAACCTACATTTCCCACACAAGGAAGGTGACAACATCGGGCACAAAGTGATTTGCGGCTGTAGGAGAGAGAAGTGCACAGAGGGGCATACCGGATGCTCATACAGCATCCCATGATGGCTCCCATAGGCTGACGCAGCCATCACCCCCCAAACTCCACAAAGCAAAGCATTCAAGATAACTGAAACGCTTTTCACTGGTGGCCATTTGCAGAGTCGAGGGTGTCATCCAGGGATGAGTCTTCAGAACAGATCAAGGGAGGAAGAAGCCCCCCTTTTCCCTCTCGGGACTCATTTCCATTGAAATATCCAGCCGAAGGACAGTGGGGGGGGAGGAGAGGGCGAGATGGACAAGAGATGACCCATCGCTTTCCAAGATTCCTCAAGGATCAACCCGCTAAAGGGGTGGGAGGGCTGACTGGGCGCCCTGTAAAAAGCGCTACACAGTATTTTAAGCCAGGTAGACACACACACAGAGAGACACACAGCATCCCCGAATGCCAGCTCAAGGCGCCGGAGAACAGAGGAAGACAATGCATCTCTAGGCATGCCCTTCACTCCGGTTTGCAAACACAGCTGCAAGCCGGAGTCTTTGCACCGCATTTGCAGGTGCCCTCGTTCCCACCGGGGGTGGGGGAAGACACCCATCCATCCTTCTTTTCTTCCTTACCTCCTCCCCCTCCCCTCCCCCCGCCGCCGGCAAGCAGAGGGAGCTGCACAAATGCGGAGCTACTCCGCCTCAGAGAAAGCCAGGAGAAGGCCGAAGAGAACACCCCCGGCCCCGCTCCCTGCTCCACTCACTCACTTCGCTTGGCCACACTCTCTCTCTCTGGGGGCTGCTTGCTCCAAGCCCTTGGGGTCGGGGCGACGGCTAAGCGGCTTCTCCTCCTGGCGGCCACGAGCTGGAAGGCACGGCGGCCTCGTCTTCGCCAGGTGACCGCTGGGCTCCGGCTCACGTGAGCAGCCTCCTGGCGGCGGCTCGGCGTCCGAAGCGGTCAGGCGCGGCCGTGGCGTCTTTCTGCGGCGGCTGCTCGCGGCGTCCCTTCTCTGCAGGGGTCGCTCTCGCGGAGCTGCCGTCAGGGAAAGCGGCGCGCGGAGCTGGGGACGGGGGGGCGGGAACGGGGCAGGGGGGGAGAAGGAAGGCTCCTCTTCTCGCCTGACGGGGAGGCTTTTCCAAGCGGACCTAGAGCGAGTCCGTGTCAGTCAAGGCGCTCTGGTCCACCGGCGGCAGCACCCAGCGTTTCTGAGCATGAGCAGAGTGACGCGCTTACACTCCCCCAACACACAGACTGCCATATGTCTCGCGCGTTGCATCTCGGATGCAGGAGAGCGGCTTCCCTTGCTCTGAAAGAATTAGATAGCTGAGGCTGGTTCCCAGTCCTTTGCAATTCTAGATTACATTCAGGGTATCATCAGCTTCTTATAGCAAAACTCAAGCGTAAACTGAAGAAAGTAGGAAAAACCACCGGGCTAGTCAGGTATAATATAAACCAAATCCCTTAAGGCAGTGGTCCCCAACCTTGGGCCTCCAGATGTTCTTGCACTTCAACTCCCAGAAATCCTTGCCAGCAGAGGTGGTGGTGAAGGCTTCTGGGAGTTGTAGTCCAAAAACATCTGGAGGCCCAAGGTTGGGGACCACTGCCTTAAGGGATATGGGGTCCTATGGCATCAGAAGAAGCACTCTGTCTTCCTGCATGATCCCAAGAAAGCAGCAAACTGCCTAACAGAGAATCACATTTGTCATGTGACTTAGCATGGATCACACATAAGTGGACATCAGAGGTTGTGGACTAGAACCCCATATTGTTTCAGTCCTTGTTTTGCTGGATATGTGTTCAAGAAAATTGGAGATATGAAAGGAACATTTTGTGCAAAGATGGACATGATAAAGGACAAAAATGGTAAGGACCTCACAGAAGCAGAAGACATAAAGAAGAGGTGACAAGGATACACAGAGGAATTATACCAGAAAGATTTGAATATCCCGGACAACGCAGATAGTGTGGTTGCTGACCTTGAGCCAGACATCCTGGGGAGTGAATTCAAGTGGGCCTTAGAAAGCATAGCTAACAAGGCCAGTGGACGTGATGGCATTCCAGACAAATTATTTAAAATCTTAAAAGATGACGCTGTTAAGGTGCTGCACTCAATATGCCAGCAAGTTTGGAAAACTCAACAGTGGCCACAGGACTGGAAAAGATCAGTCTACATCCCAATCCCAAAGAGGGGCAGTGCCAAAGAATGCTCCAACTACCGTACAATTGCACTCTTTTCACACGCTAGCAACATTATGCTGAAAATCCTCCAAGGTAGGCTTCAACAGTATGTGGACCGAGAACTCCCAGAAGTACAAGCTGGATTTCAAAGGGGCAGAGGAACTAAAGACCAAATTGCTAATATGTGCTGGATTATGGCAAAAGCCAGAGATTTCAAGAAAAACATCTACTTCTGCTTCATTGACTATGCAAAAGCCTTTGACTGTGTCGACCACAACAAACTATGGCAAGTTCTTAAAGAAATGGGAGTGTCTGACCACCTTATCTATCTCTTGATAAATCTATATGTAGGACAGGAAGCAAGAGTTAGAACTGAATATGGAACAACTGATTGGTTCAAAACTGGGAAAGGAGTACGACAAGGCTGTATATTGTCCCCCA